TATTTGGGTTACATTATTTCCCTGGGGAGTCATTTCATCCTGTTCGCTATTGCAGCCTGAGTTTGTGTGTGTTTTGGGTTTTTGGTTTTTTTTTTTAATTTCTTAGGAGTAGTATTGATTAAAGCTAATTGCAGAATATACTGTGGACATCGAAAGATTAGTATAAACATCTCTACCTTTTACTGCTCTGAGATGCTGTTGCTCTACAAATAGTAGCTGTTACTGGTAAACCTCAAAAAAGCTGTAGACAAGTGCTCCAAGTTTTCTTAGCTTGTTCAGCAGAACAAGTTTTGTCTTGTTTTCCCTTGCCAACCTTACTGTTTGTTTATTCTATGACATGTGGATTGTAAATTGCTTAATGTTGGAGGCATTTGTTTTAAAACAGCATTTTTGTGAGGTATTTTCATTTTTCTTGGTTGAGAAACTGAGATTTGGAATAAAATTACATATAGCTGGAGGGAATTGATACCTTACATTAGAGGAGACTCAGGGATCGGTGTGGGACCGGTGCTGTTTACCATCTTTGTTGGCGACATGGACAGTGGGATTGAGTGCACCGTCAGCTAGTTGGCCAATGACACCTAGCTGTGTGGTGCAGTCGGCACGCTAGAGGGAAGGGATGCCATCCAGAGGGACCGGGAAAAGCTGCAGAGGTGGGACTGTGCGAACCTCATGAAGTTCAGCAAGGCCAAGAGCAAGGTCTTGCACACGGGTCGGGGCAATCCCAAGCACAAATACAGGCTGGGTGGAGAATGGATTGAGGGGCAGCCCTGAGGAGAAGGCCTTGGAGGTGCTGTTTGACAAGAAGCTCAACATGACCCGGCAGTGTGTGCCTGCAGCCCAACGGCCATACGGCCAACCATATCCTGGGCTGCATCAAGAGAAGCATGGCCAGCAGGTCCAGGAAGGGGATTCTGTCCCTCATAGAACAATCATGGTTGGAAAAGACCTCTAAGATCATCAAGTCTAACCATCAACCCAACACCACCATGCCTACTAAACCATGTCCTGAAGTGCAATATCTGCACGTTTTTTTTAACACCTCCAGGGATGGTGACTCCACCGCTTCCCTGAGCAGCCTATTCCAATGCGTGACCCCTCTCTC